GGTGGGGGGGGTTGGAAGAGAAGCACCCCTCCGTCAGAATAAACGGCTGCTGAAACCTACCTGAAAGGAGGCGGGAGCTTTCAAGAGAACGGGAAGAAAAGAGCTGCTACTGCCAGATCCGCTGCCGCCGGCTGAGTGAGACCGTCCCAACGCCTGCCCCGCCCCTTTTATACCCAGGGGGTGCCGGCCCCCGCCTCGCCGGCCGAGAACATCGCCATATATGGAGATCTTTCAGAGACACGCGCTGCCATTGGCTGGCGCGGGCCGGGCCACGTGGGGCGGACGAGAGCAGGCTGGCGCCGCCTCCTCCTCCTCGCTCAACCCCGGAATCAGCATGAGCAACGAGGCCGGGGGCTGGTGGCGGGGGGGGAAGGGTCCGCAGCTTTTGCACCGGGGCCTCTCTCGTCCCAGTCCCATGTTATGTTCACCCCCCCCCAGGACTAAGGAGAAGGCACCGCTGTGGGATGCTCCCGCCAGCCAAAGCACACATCCTAGCTAGATTGCAGTTGATGGACAGCAAGGGGAATCGAGGGTTGCCACCATTGTCACAAGTCGTGCAATGGGTGGGCCATGCGGGCGTCGAGGTCTGTTGCCCTACCTGCCCCATGGGCACTGGACTGCAGTCGAGGCCCTCCTCGATCCATCTCGAGGCCTAGACTCTCGGGCTTCTGACTTGGCCACATAAGCCATGGTAGTATTGCAGTGGCAGCAGTCCCAGGGATTGGCACCCACACCAGGGTTGCAATTCCTAGTCCAGGATGGCCACAAGGTTACCTGAGCTGCGACTGCAGTGCCTTGGAACAAAGCGTGATCTGCTTCCATGGGGCCATTTACTCGGTTCACTGGCAAGGTGTTTGGCCACAGAGATGCACCGGTGTCTGTGCAACGCTGTGTTTCTCTATGGCTTTTGTTCAGCTGATGCCGTAAGCCCTGCCATGCTGCTGCCTCTGCCCGGAAGCGGCCACTGACTAGGCATCAATGGAAGCATCAACGGAATGACGGTGCATTGCAAGGGTATCCCCAGGAATTACCAGGTGCAAAAGATGCCCACTTCCATTCCACTGACAACAGGCCCGGGACCGTTGCCCCATTCCAGACATGATGTCACCTCGTCCTGGGAGCATCCTGTCCTAGTTTCCACATTAAAACAGCTACTGTTCAAGGCTCCCTTTGGGGGCAACATCAACACATTTTAACTATGCCACCATATCTGTGCCACTACATCCACAGTAATGAGTGCCACACCTTAAGTAGCTGACCTGTTTATGTGAAGGCATTGGGATTATTATGTTGCTATAGTCACTTAGTGCTTTCAGTGCTGAATGACACGAACTTGGCACACTTGGGTACAGGAAACTAGCTGGAAAGCCTCACAAAATATTGTGACATTGTTTTCCAGAAGCAAGCAAATTCCAAAGAACTGCTTGTCAAAAGCAAGAAATGTTGGAAAAGGGAAAAAAGTGAAGTAGGGATTTTTGTGGGAAGTACAATTCTCAAACCATGTTTTGTGGAGCAGGTGGAATTAAGGAGAGTAGACCTTTTGTGTAGGTTAGAGGGAATGCTTTTGCCCGAAGACATAAAGGGCACAATGCTTTTTAGACCAGTGTTTTTCAACCACTGTTCCGCGGCACACTAGTGTGCTGCGAGATGTTGCCTGGTGTGCCGTGGGAAAAATTGAAAAATTCAAAAGATTTAAAAATAAAGTATTTTATAATTTTTCACATTTCTGTTTACTTACTATTTCATAATAAAGTAATTATAAAATACTTTCTTTGTGTTTATTTGATTCCTATTCAAGAGAATTACTTTATATATAGTCAATATAGGCACAGAGTTAATTTTTTTAACATTTTCTAATGGTGGTGTGCCTCGTGATTTTTTTTCATGAAACAAGTGTGCCTTTGCCCAAAAAAGGTTGAAAAACACTGTTTTAGACTATATGCAAAGCAAGGGGGCCAATGTCATAGTAAATGTTGAGACACAGTAAATGTTGAGACACAACACACTCAAACCTGAAGGATTTACATCCTCTAGGACCAGGCATGGCCAAACTTGGCCCTCCAGATGTTTTGGGACTACAACTCCCCATCATCCCTAGCTAACAGGACCAGTGGTCAGGGATGATGGGAATTATAGTCCCAAAACATCTGGAGGGCCAAGTTTGGCCATGCTTGCTCTAGGACTGAATCTGCATCTCTTGAGTCCAGGGAATTGAAATAGTCCAGACTGTAGAGGTGACCACTAAGTCTGCAATCCTAACCATAGCTCAGACAGCAGCTCAGGGAAGGGCAATTGCACAGCTGTAGAACATCTGCTTCACACGCAGGAGGTCCCAGGGTTGACGATATTGAGCTAGATGGACCAATGATCTGACTTGGGAGAGCATCCTACACTCTTGCTCACCTGGGGAGGAAACGCCACTGAATTCAATGGCGCTTACTTCAGCAAACTTTGGAAGTGTAATTTAACTATTGCAATATGGACTCTAAAACACCCCATACCTCTTCACCTTTTTTGCGTCTGAACAGAAGTTGAGTCTAATGAATGGTGGCAGAACAGATCCAGGGTGAGCCCAGAAGACACAACAACAACAACAACAGTATTACAGTGGTACCTCTGGTTACGTACTTAATTTGTTCTGGAGGTCTGTTCTTAACCTGAAACTGTTCTTAACCTGAAGCACCACTTTAGCTAATGGGGCCTCCTGCTGCCGTTGCACGATTTCTGTTCTCAACCTGAAGCAAAGTTCTTAACCCGAGGCATTATTTCTGGGTTAGTGGAGTCTGTAACTTGAAGCATATGTAACCTGAAGCGTATGTAACCCGAGGTACCACTGTATTTGTACCACGCACATCTGACTGGGTTGCTACAGCTACTCTGGGTGGCTTCCACCAGAATCTAACAGAACACACAATACATTGGACATTAAAAGCTCCTTCTGAAACAAAAGAGAGGCTGTTGTGGTCCATAAGGCCCCAGTGCAGAAACCTAGCTGATAATCTCCCAAATTTATGAAAAGTCTAGCTGTGCCCTTCCCTGTAAAGTCCCTTTTAAGTTCTACAGGCTGTCAGCAAACCTCACTGTATATGAATGGCTTCCTTGCTGAGTTCCATCTAACAACAGAATCATAGACCACATCTAGTCCAACCCCCTGCAATGCAGGAATCATTTTGCCCAATGTGGGACTTGAACCCACAACCCTGGGATCAATAGTCTCATGCTCTACTGACTGAGTTATCCCAGTGCATTAGCACTGAAGCATACTCTGCCACCATTACTTCTGGCCTGTGCTGTTGGGGATGGGCTCATCCTGTAGTTAAGAGAAAACATCACCATTATTCATTTTTCTAACCAGAGGGTTTGGTCACTGATTCAAATCAGCTGAAAGAGGCTTGTCGAGAAAAGTGAAACTGTTCTTACAAATCCAAGCCCGCACAGAACTGTAAATGTTGCTTGGAAAAGTAACTTAACACTCTGCTACTAAACACAGGTGAAACAGCTGGTCTCTGCCCAACCCTGTTCCTTGCACACACCTAGAAAAATAACCAGACCTCGCCTATAAGCAGGTGACTAAGCTCTTCCTTTCCCACAGGAGCATAACCTACTTTGTCTTCCTAAACTGGAAAGCTTTGTCTGCCAACTCAACTGACAGCTAAGCTACCAATAGCAGAAGGCTTATGATATGAGTAACAGGCACTGAATCAATGGAAATCAAACACCTCATCAAATCGTAAGAAAGGGTAAGAAATTGTTTGAACTCCATCGCTCCATCAGATTGCTCAATTTTTATTCTATATTATTTATTGTTGGAAAATTATCACTTCCTGTTTTGCATTTGCAGTAATGGATGCTGATTAAATTATAATCTCAGTTCCATACATTAGGACTCACTGAAAAAGTGTGTGCATTGGTTCCAAAGGATGCTTGCTTCCAAAGACATTGATATTTTCCAGTCTGATCATCTTATATTAAGTCTTCCACCAATACAGGAAGTTCCAATAGCCATATGAGTAACTCCTTCAACAGTCCCAGAGAAGGCAGAATAGTAGAAGCAGAGGCCTTCGCACGCTGATTTAAGCATCCCTATCCACTGCTTTTTGCTGACTTACTAATGCTTGAGTATATTTAAGCCTGGGGGATTCCCCTCTGAAACATTTGGAGTAGGGAAACATTTAGAGCCTTTAAAGGAAATGAGAAATGGTGCCACACGTTTTTTAAACATGGCTGATCCAATCCCCACCATCCCTTTTAATTGGGAGTTCCCTAAATTTTTTTGCTGTAAATTTCCCATCCAAGTTACTTGCCAATAGGAAAATGCGTTGAGTGGTAAGGAATTCAGCAATACTCCAGATTTTAAAAGGAGGAACTCAGAAGATGCAACATGCTGGACAATCATAGAAAACGGAGTGGCAAGCTCAGTTACCATGTGGGTGCATTTATTGATTTCTAACATATACCCCTGTTACTCAGCGGCGTAGCGTGGGGGGTGCAGGGGGGGCCGGCCGCACCGGGCGCAACATCTGGGGTTAGGGCAAATCCACAGGTTAGGGGGCGCAAATCCACGGGTTAGGGGGCGCAAATTTCTTGCCTTGCCCCGGGTGCTGACAACCCACGCTACGCCACTGCTGTTACTGGCTCATAAAGTGAAGCAACTATTGCAGGAATGTGGAAGCCTACAATCTTCCAGAGATTGCTGGCAATAAAGACATTCTGAAGTAAAATGGGTTCCAGTTCCCAGCTGGGTTCGAGACACCGCTGCTTTACCAAAGCTCTCACCATCCCCCAAAATCCACTTTCAAAGTCCCTTGCTTGTTTTCACTCTGGTCCATTTGCAACAGCTGATGCCACAGCTAGTGGTGACTTGAGGGACAAGTATATCAAGGCCAAGAGGCCTGCAATACGAGTACACATGACGACTGCTTCGTATGACTCTTTTTAATTGTTTCTGACGTTTGTCCTGGGCAGGGGAGGAGGGGAAAGAGTCCCCCAAAGTCAGGACCTCTGTCCTCCAAGCTCTTTCAGTTAGTCAGCAAGGCACCAGTAAGGGGACGAGAGAGGAACCAGGAGGCAGGAGCTGGGAAGGCTCGCTCGCTTCCTGCTGCAGGCCTGACTGAGGACAGCGCGGGGCTCTGTCTCCTTCCAGGCATTTGCATGCTTTTCAGATTCTTTTGTGCTGAAGGGGAGGGCGTGTTCTCTTCGGCGGAGCCAAGGCTGCGTACATGAGGCAGCCTTCTGCCCGCTGCAGAGCCTCCCGAAAGGAGCAAACGAGAGCAGCTGCATGCGTGCAAACAACGACAGTCCTGAGCGCCTGTTCTCGTTCAACGCGGGCCTGGTGCAGAGATGCCCCACCCAAGGCAGACGGGGCGGGCATCGCTGATCGCCTGCGCAGCCCAATCCACCGCAGGCATCGCCCTCCAGGCTCGCTCCTTCCCAGCCCCCTTTGGAGAAGGCGGCGGCGGCGGCAAGCGTGCAGCACCACCAGGGTCTGCAGACAATGGCTTTGCAAACTCGGAAGCTTGGAGGGCCGCAACCCGGAACTGTATGCAACATAACCTCCGGCAGCAGCAGCAGTTACCTGCTGACTTGCCCGCCTGCTTCTCGCAGAGACAACGCTGATGCTGCAGCCGGGCTGACACTTACCGGCGCGCGGAAGCCGCCAGGCCTTGCGAGGGCTGCAGGCACGCGGGGGGGGGGGCTAAAGGGAGCGGCGCGAGGCCAAGTCTGAGCGCGGAAAGCAGCGAAGGCTGGAAGCTCCGTCTGCCCATTGTCAGCACGCTCAGAAATTGGCATGTGCACCTGGGTCACGTCATTAAATGGCTGCAGCAGCAGCAGGAAGGGGGCTGGTGCTCAGTGCATTTGAAGGCAAAACGGAGCAAGGCAACACCGCCTCCCAAAGGGCGACCATCAGGCACCCTGGTGCTAGCGGAGCAGCTTGTCCGGGTTTGGCGCAGGATGCCTGGAGAGAGAGCGAGCTTGCAGGCAGGCGTGCACGGGAGAGGCGCCTTTCTTTCAAGGAAGTTGCCTGTAACAGGCCGTCCCTTCGCTACAAAACGCACCATCGAAACTTGCCGGGTTCCCCTTTATTTCGAAACCCCTGACGTATGTTCTCCAGTGGTGTTTCCCCCCGCCCCGCCCCCTTCTTTTCGGTTTGGACATTTTGCTCCTAGCATCTCCAGGAAACGCGGGGCGTAAAGAGCCGAATTCTTAAGCCATCCCTGAAAACACACACACACCGATCTGTGTTAAGAGCGGAAAGCCCTCTGCACATGCCCAAGAGCACTCTTCTTTCTTTATTGCATATGAGTCGCCTAGCACCGAGCTCCGGAAGCAAGTTCCGGCTGAAAAATCAAGCCACGCCGGGCACAGATCTCCCTTCAATTCAATGAATGAAATCCCAACCCGACCCTCTCCTCCCCCCTCGACGCACATCCGCCCCAGCCCCACCCCCGTTGCACAAGGGGGCACACAGAAGCAAGTCATCACCCTCTCTCTCCCTGCTGGTGAATTTCCTTCTCGGCAACAGCGCCTTGCCCCTCCTCCCGCGTGTCATTCGTTACAGACGCAGCGTGACGGGGAGGGAGCGGCGAACCGAAACCTCGTGGGTGTCTGCCGGAGCAAGGTGGTGCTGCTCGGTAGCCCAGGTGACACGGCCGACGGGGAGGGGAAAACAAAAGGCCTTTCTCCGCATGCCTATATTTGGAGATTTCTGGCCAGTGGCTCGAAGATCCGCCCTGGCCCGGCATGCTCGATAAGGCTCGCACACCTAGGACCTTTTTTAGCAAGCGGGAGGGGCGATATCGTTCTAGCCGGTGGACTTTTAAGTCGCAGATCAGCGAGAGAGAGAGAGAGAATGCAGGGATGCCAATTTGAATTAAATATTGTGGGGGGGGGGTTAGGTAAACCCAGCCCCGCACAATTGATCATAAGACACAGTGCATGCACACTATTGAATGGCAATGCCCATCAATATTTGGGGGGGGGGGGGCTGGGACCTCGGCCGCTAGAAGTTGGCTCCTATAGTCAGCTCCATATTTTCACCCTCTAGGCATTATTCACAATATGTACTATTGCAGAGGGATGCGGCTGGCACTGTGGTCTAAACCACTGAGCCTCTTGGGCTTGCTGATCAGAAGGTTGGTGGTTCGAATCCCCGCGGCGGAGTGTCCCTCCTCCTGCCAACCTAGCAGTTCAAAAGCACATCAAAGTGCAAGTAGATAAATAGGTACCGCTCTGGCGGTAAGGTAAACGGTGTTTCCGTGCACTGCTCTGGTTCGCCAGAAGCGGCTTAGTCATGCTGGCCACATGACCCGGAAGCTGTACGCCGGCTCCCTCGGCCAATAAAGCGAGATGAACACCGCAACCCCAGAGTCGTCCGCGAGTGGACCCTAACGGTCAGGGGTCCCTATACCTTTACTATTGCAGAATCAGGTTCCAATCCTAGGAACCTGCATTGTATTGGGCAGCTTTCATAATAATCAGAGGGTCTTTCCAAATGTTCCTATTTATGGGAAGGAATTAGCAGGCAATCTGCGTGTAGGCCACATCTGTGTGTTCATTTGTGGAGTATGCACTTAACTTGAAAGTACTTTGTAAAGTCAGAAGGAACCTTCAACCATCAGTGATTTGCCCCGCTCTTTCGGATTAGGCCAGAAACTGCATAGCCTAGGATTCTAAATCGGAATCATGCACACTTTACTTGGAGCCTGAACTCACACCAAACTCAGCAGGGCTTAGTTTAGAGTGGCTTGCACTGTGAAATGAAATAATAATTTTCGATGGGCAGGAGCACTAGCCAGGTATAGGAACCAGGTATATAGCAATGGCATGTTCTCCACCCCAGTTTACAAGGTCATGTGGCCCTTTCTGCTGTCCTTTCCTTAGATTGCATCTCCATAGGCTATGATACTCCAAACACACCTGTTTACTTTAACCCAGCCTGCTGAAACCAAGCAGAAGGAAGATAAGGCAGCGCCGATTTTAAGCACATCAGATTTTTGGGAAATGGACCTCGAATTTCCAGACGTATGGCAACCCTACCCAGAAGTGAAAAACATCCCACAAAGCAACTGGGCAGGGCGGAAAAGGGTGTTTGCAAGCTTTTTCAATGGGTGTTCCAATAATACGCGATTTCACACAAGCACACAATGACCCGGAAAATGAACCCCCCCTCACCCCATGCAAACAGGGAGCTGCCTGTACATGGAGTAATATTTTGGGACTTTGCAGAATCAAATATATGATTAACAGATAGAAAGATGTTGTTGAGTCTTCGTGGAAATGATGTGAGGACTTGGATGGCCCCATGAATTCGGTATCCTGGCCCTTCCATGCAGCAATGCACATACATGTGCGCGCACACATCCTTAGTGCAAAAATAACATTTGTGGTGCCAGATCATGGCCTCTTGGCAATAGACAAGTGTCTTGCTGTGTGTTAGTACATAAACCTGCTGCACACACTATGTGTGGTCTCCCAATTCTAATCAGTGTCCTGAGATCCTCAGTACTGAACTGGAGAGAATGAGTCTACAGCCCATGTTAAAATGAAAGAAAACAATGGGAAGAGCCTGTTGAATGCTTGGGTTAAGTCATGATCTTCCTGATACTCATCAATGTGCTTTTAATTTTAAAAGGGCTGCATAATCAGTCTGCCAACCGAGGGTTACAGCAGAGGAGCACACAACTCCTAATAAAAATAATTAAAATGGTAATGCAGAGAGAATGAGCTGGGATGTTCTCACAATCTAAATAACAAGCCCGAGTATAATAGATTGCAATGCGGAGGCAGGGAATGAATCAGGTATTACCAGAAGCTCAATATTGTGGCGTGGTGGATGGTCATGTAGAGTTTCTGCACATGCACTATATACGGAGATGTCATCTGGACCCTGTGCATTATTTAGCAAACACAGTTCCTGTGCATTTTTTAAAAAATAGTTTGTAAGGTTTTCGAACCATAGAGGTTATGGTAATATGAAGATCTGTGGGATTACATGCTCTGAAGGAGCTGGTGAAATACAACATTTAGATTGGTGCTGCACCTTTAACAGAGATTTGCTGCTTCCAGTGGGCTTAGGTCCTGCAATAAGCAAACAAAAGTTGGTCTGAAAGGAAGGACACATTAAACAAACACTGTTGTGTGCCTGCCTGTGGTGCAGCCAGTGAACAACACAGTGTGATTAAATCCTGAGCAAACTCAGTCTCACACCCTCGGTCACCCAATCAGCACCTTATCCTGCCAGTTTGCTGATTCTGCACTTCAGATCATCCCTTCGATACCTCCATATAGGGTCAATTTGGGGCTGGTTTTTATGCCTCAGGGTAAAGATTGTTTGTGCTTGGCTCCTCCTGTCTTTCCAGGGTTAAGCACGGTATTGTTTAACATTCTATATGCTAAAGGAGGCAGGAAGAGGAGGCAGATGGAAGGATTTCCTTGGGTGTACCGTACTTCTCATAGGCTTATGTAGGATTCCACAATCAGCTTCCTGACAGATTCAGGCCAATTTCTTTCCTTTCCAAGCCAGCTCCGCTGCAGGGCATGCTATTGCATGACCCTTAAAGTGTTTCCGTAGCTGGAATTTCTTGCATGCTACATGCAGTTCAGTTTGAATCATTTTCTCAGAAATAAGTCTCACTGAGTTCAGTGTAACTTGTTACCTGGTAAGTTTAAGTGTGTGTGTGTTTAGAATTGTGGCCTTAAATTGATCCAGATAAACCAGATTCCCACTGCTTCTCTTCCCAGAACAGTTAGCTAAGACTGCAGTCCTAACCAGGTCTACTTAGAAGTTAAGCCCTGTAGACTTTAATGAGGATTACTTCCAGTGGGTTAGGATTGGAGATGAGTGAATTGTCACAATTAATGGTTTAGGGTTAGGTAATTATCGTAACTAGAGCAGTGAACAGATAAATAATTTTTAATTGCTCATGAATAAGCCTTTAAATAGACTCATTAATAAATCGGCAGTTTCCCCAAAAAGTCCACACAGGAGCTTTTTTGAAGGAAGTGCAAGCTAACTTATAATGGAACAAACAAAACTATTCAAATTTTGATTTTGTTTTTTTATATTGGTGTATTTCAGCATGTCTTTGTCACGGCCTTAGGCTACTACTACAAAAAAGCTGATGCAATTCAATAGGCAAAAGCTGCAACTCAATGTTATAAGAAAATGCAATTTAATTCCCACCCCCATAGCCCACTACAGTAGCATGCCTGAACCAAGATGGTCTCAAAAATTAATATGCCTTTAATTCTCAGCGCCACTGATTAAAATTTATCTGCACCAATAGTACCTGACCCCTTCCAATTAATCAAAGAAAGCTTTGGCTGATCAGTTACGTGATTAAACTGATTTACAGCAAGCAGCCCTAATCCTAACACTTCCCATGTTCTTTTGGGGCCTTTGCCATTGGTATAAAGGGGATTCCCAATTGTAAAATCCCCCTTTTTGAGGCTGTAGAACGCAGCAAACAGGAGCAGGAAACTGAATTATAAATCAAGCACCAAGATGCAGAGATCTATTTCTTTCTCCATAATGCTTCATGACAGCTTGCCTGGGCAGACGCTTAGCCACTGTTCTTCTTTTAATTGCAGAGAAAGAGGCTGAAATTTAGGAATAACATGGACTCTCAAAACCAGCCCCTGAATTGTGGTTCTCTATCCTGTATCTTGATGCCGCTGATAACTTGCATCCTAGCCTGGCTGCAGGAAACCCTCCCATTAGCCAAGCAGAGGTCAGTCGGTTGCATAACTATTCTCGCCCTTGCATGTAAAATGCAGATATGTGTGCTTTAGCGCTTGCTCTGCCAGCTGTGCCAGTTCTCCTGAGGACACAGCCATTCTTCCCAACAATTCTTTCTGTGGTTATCTCCCAACACCCACTCCCTTTGGGCGCATGTTCCAGCGAACTAACAAACACATAACTGCCTCTGTGCTTCGTAGCACAAACTAGGAAGTCAGGAAGAGATGAATGGGAGAAGCTCCGTTGAGATGAAATCGGTCGACCTACTGAAGAAATAAGCCAGTTTGGGTCTGCGGGTGGGTGGGAGTATATTTGAATGCAGCCAAAGTGAATACAGCAAGCTTCCACGCATTCAAAAGTTTCTAAGGACCGAGAGCAAGAAGAATAAAACCTTCAACTAGTAATAATCAAGGAAGCAATCCAGAGACTGTGCTTCCTAATATGTCTTCCTGCCCCAATTAGATGCAGATGGTTTTGTGGGACGTTGTCATCATATATATTACAGACTTGGGTGGGTGGGTATGGAACTTATTTTGCAAGCCTGGGCAGGACCTAGGCTTGAAAACAATATTTTAAGAGATTTGTCAATGTCTGCATGGAAGTAGACAATCTTGAGCCCCAGCTTCATTTCTGTGCTTTTTTGTTTTGTTTTTACATCCTGATCCATTGGGCTATAATTATTAGTTGACACTGAAGACATTAGTCAACGTATATTTATAGTTGAACATGCACAGATTCCAAGTGAACAGGATGCTTTGCAGAACAGGTTAGCTTCAGAAGCCTGGACAGACAGTCCTGACGTGGCCTGGCTATGCTATTTGCAGTTAACCAAAACAAGTGAGTTAAAGGGCAGGGCACTAACCTTCTGCAGATAGGAGAATTTCCATTTTAGGCAGTAGCGTTCAGTTGTAAGCATTGTGCTTGTGAGCAAAGGTTGCAAAATAGTTGCTCCTCTGCAAAATGGGCAAGGTAAATGCACCCTGATTAAAAAACTATTACAGACAGTGTTGTCAAATTGTGTGTGTGCATTTAGGGACTCCACTATTATAAACCTAGAAAATTTATTTTCATAATGATGTACAGGCATGATGGCAGAGATCATCTTCAGAGGCACATTTAGGTCACACCCTTACATTCTCTGCAAGGGCAGCACTTGATTCTTCTCCATCGCTAGAATCACGTCTCCCCTCCGATTCGTGCGTTTCATGTGCATGGTTTAAAAACACCAGAAAATGACTTCTCTCAGAAAGGAGCAGCTTGAACCATGGGGGATGGGAGAACGGATGATTGAGGATGAATATCTCCAGCTGTAAGAAAATCGAACACCTACCAATCCCCTGTTGCAAGCAGAGTCCCTCGGGTAGGACTAGAAGCAGTACTCTTCCTGCATTTTACTTCAGCAATCATCTCCCTGGACAGATTGCATTTCTCCTCCTAAAAGGAGGAAGCTTGCTGTCTGAAGTTCTTTTCTTTTTCTTTTTTTTGCCCTCTTTAGTTTCACACCCCCATCTGTTTCCTGTGGCTTCTTGCTGCAAATACAGATCTTCCTTTTTTATTCTGTTTTCCCATTTGATTCATCTGAAAATGGGAGGGTTCTCTGAAATCCAGTTGTCTGGAATCTCTGGAATATATGAGTTAGTGAATGATGGCAGTGGTTGACCTGGAAACATTTGGGGAGTGGGGTTGTGTGTGGTTCACCAGAAAGATAGCAAATTGTCATAAATATGGGGGGCTGCTTTATTTATCCATGTGTACTCTGATAGGTCGTGCCTCTCTCCAGCTTCTCAGGCAGAGAGGTACAGTGGTACCTTGGGTTACATACGCTTCAGGTTACAGACTCTGCTAACCCAGAAATATTACCTCGGGTTAAGAACTTTGCTTCAGGATGAGAACAGAAATCGGGCTCCGGCGGCGCGGCAGCAGCAGGAGGCCCCATTAGCTAAAGTGGTACCTCAGGTTAAGAACAGTTTCAGGTTAAGAACAGACCTCCAGAACAAATTAAGTACTTAACCCGAGGTACCACTGTATTTCCACTTAACGTCTGTCACAGGGATGTCCAACTTCCAAAGTTTTTGAGCTTTTTTTGTGTTTTTCAGCAATCGAACATGCTTTCAGCCAGGATCGCTCAGGAACGCATCACGATCGACCGGTTGAATCTCTATCAGGTCCTTTTAGCTCAAACATGGGGAAAACCTGTGGCCTTCCAGATGTTCTTAGACTTCAACTTTCACCAGCGCACTGGTAAGGAAGGATGGGGGTTGTAGTCCGACAACCTCTGGATGGCCACAAGCTCCTCATCCCTGTTTTAGCTAGAGAGGCCAATGATTAAACCTAAACCACGCAAAGCATGTGTTAAGAGCCCTACCCTGAGGCATGAATAATTCCCGTGGAGCAAGAATGGTAGGTATACCTCTCTGCTCCCCCTGGCAATGGGAAACTCCTTTCTCTTAGGCAGCCATGCTTACCTTTTCTTACTTATCCATCACGATGAGGCAAAGGCTCCTACCT